TCTCTGAATGTTGTTCCTTAGGGTTTAATTGTCATCTCAGTGCTCTTCTTATCCTATATAATCTCCCTTTATGGTTTAATATCTCAGGTATTACTCAATTGTCAATGTTGCCAAACCTGTGATCCTTTATATTCGATCATCTAATAAACATCTGCTTATTCCATAGATGTCTTAAATTTTCCATTTTCAAAATTAATTCTTTCTTTCCCTGAAATAGATTGTTCTATAATATTTTCTATGCCAGTTGTTGAGGCTTTCACCCAGTAATTAAAGCTAGCACACTGGCAGTTATTCTTGACTCCTCCATCTTTTGCACAGCTCATATTTCTGTAATTATCAACGACCACTAAATTAACTCATCAGTGGTTCTTAGTCCCCCTTGCTAACTAAAATCACCTGGAGAGATTTAAAAATATGCTAGATCAATTAAAACAGAATCTCTGGGAGTAAGGCCCTAGAATTCGTTATTCTAACGTGCAGAGAGGAATGGAAATCACTTTTCTCAAATGTCACTTTTTTACCTCTGCCCCATTTCAGGTCTTCATTGTCACTTAATGGGTATCTCCTATATGTGGCCACTCTGCCTTCAGTCATACCCCATCTGATCCATTATCAACCTGGCCATTAGGGTAAACATTCTCAAATAGAAATGTTATAAAATCATTTCCCTCGTCTCTCCTGTTTCTATTATATACACTCTCCCCTGGCTTAAAATCCTTCAATAGCTTCCCCTGAAAAAAAAAAAACAAAACTCAAATCCTAACTCTTTAATTGGGCACATGAAGCTGTATTTTCACTTACGCACCACTTGCCACTTTTTGCCTTTTGTTTACTGTTCTCTGCTCCCCACAAAATGGAATTTTTTCCTATTCTCTCTTCTTTTTTTTTTTTTGAGATGGAGTTTCACTCATGTTACCCAGGCTGGAGTGCAATGGTGTGATCTCGGCTCACTGCAACCTCCGCCCCCCGAGTTCAAGTGATTCTCCTGCCTCAGCCTCCTGACTAGCTGGGATTACAGGCACCCACCACCATGCCCAGCTAATTTTTGTATTTTGAGTAGAGACGGGGTTTCGCCATATTGGCCAGGTGTTCTCAAACTCCTGACCTCAGGTGATTCACCCACCTCAGTCTTCCAAAGTGCTGGGATTACAGGCTTGAGCCACCACACCTGGCCTCTTTTCTCTCTTCATACACAGCTTTCTTTTATGCCCTTGTTCATGAGCTCTCCTCCGACTAGAATGATCCTCCTGTGATTAACTATTAATCCTATTTATTGTATATGTCTTGGTTTAGTAATTACTTTCTCCAAGCTGTGTGAGTGCCTTTCCTCAGTTCTCATAATGACCTCTGCCTATAGAAATTACTGCTTGTACCACCTGAGTTTATAATAATCTCTTTATGTTCCCTTCTCTTTGGAAACAATGACTGGTTCATAATCATCTTTGTATATCCTGATGTCCAGCATAATGCTTGGAATATACTAGATACTTTAAAAAAGGCGTACTAAATAGATGAGTGAATAAGAAATTAAAAATTTTATCAGAAGTTATAGCTGATAACATAAAGGTAGGTGCCTAATAAGTTTTGTCCCCTAAAACAAACCAGATAATTAAAATAGAAAAAGATCATTTCCTTTACGCTGAGAATAGGAACTTGAAAACCAATAGGGAAGACTTTCTGTAGATTTGCAATATATTAGATCTCTATTGGCATTGTTAGTTACTTCTGTAGGTCATTGTCTTCTGATTTCTATATTTGTTTTGGATCTTTACACTCTTAATTTAGCTTCTTGAGTAGAAAAATGAACATATAACTGGTGGTTAATTTTATTCTGATTAGCAGATACTTTTCATGTAATTACATGGTTTTTACACTATAAAATAATGTATGCATTTAGGTTTATTACTTATAACTTTCAGGGTTCAATCACTCTACATCAATTTGCCGATGTCCAGATCTGGCAAACTGAGTGATGTGATCAACACTAAGATCCCCTTCAGCATTAAAATTTCTGAATTGATATTTTTAATTAAAAAATACAAATGAAAATTCAATGTTGTATTTATTTGGTATTAATCAAAAATGCATGGGGACTGTAGAGACATTGTTATAACAAATTCTAATTTTACATTCTTCACAAAAATCTTTAGGGAAAAGAAAATTGTCCATTTTTTTTGAATCATGGCTTCTTAGGGAAACACAGAAAATGTGACAAGGGCATGAAAAAAATATAGAACTCAGACAAAATAACAGGTTTACTCCAAGCTTACAAGTAGCAATATTTAATGCTTTGATATAATTCCTCTTTATTATGAAGAACAACTATCAAATAAATCACTGTGTGGAAAAGAACTGATCTGGGAATCAACTGGGAAAGAAAATCACAAAGAAGTGATTGTGAAGACATTCATTTGTTCTTCAGATATGTAACTGTTTAATCTGAAATAAACTTTACAATGGAAAACTATTAGGAAAGTTTCTTGTTCAATTTTGCCGTTCTACACTCTGATATTGATTGTTCAGGATTATTGAGCACACATGCTGTCATAAGAATTGTATATAATTTACTAAATATACTCACATATGATAGACATTAAAGGATATATGTGTCTAGTAATAGCAGATGCATGTTTCTGCCCACTAAAGAAATGGTTACAGCTTTTAATAAATATGGCTAAGGGAATGATGTTAAGATTATGTGTGTGTATGCACATGTTTGTTCTGGATTTCAACTGAGTATACAAAATTATTATCTTACACCACTTGCATTGGGATCTTCAGTTTTTCCTTCAAGAAGTGAATTATTAATCACATATTTAATTTTAGAGTGCTACAACATCTACTCATCCCTTTCTCTTTAGAAACAAACCAGAGTTTTTATATTGCTTCCCATAATAAAAAACATATTGCCTTCCAGATTTTGCAGCTAAATTTGGCTATGGGACTAAATTCTGGCCTTGAGCTGTTTAAGAGAGATACTTGTGAGAGTTCTCTGAAGACTGGTTAAAGGAAACTAACTCAGATGGAAGGTCCATTTGCCCACCTGACCTTCCTCTTAGGTTTTAGCCTGAAAATCAGTGGTGATGGCTGGAGAGCCAATAGCTATCTTGGAACAAGACGTGATTCTGAAGGTGGGAAGCAAGGCTGGCATGGTACAGAAAAAAGGTGGGAACTTGGGTCCTTGAGAAAATTGTGGAGCCACCATATCTACCTGTAATTCCTACTTTCAGACTTATTTCTATGTGTGAGAGATTTATCTTAAGTCATTGTTATTTTTGTTGTTAATATTGTTGTTAAGCTAGCATTCTAGCTGAGCCCAAGCTAGGACTCAGAGTCTGGTTATATCTGACAGCCCCTGGATCAGCATCCCTCAATGCCAACTATTGAATGTAATGGGTTAATGGTGAATGGAATTCTAGTTCATGTAACAAAGAACAACTTGTTATGCCCAAATATGACGAGGTCATATTGCTCTTATTTCTCTCTAACTTGAGATTTGGGTCCATGTTCTCTATAAGGACTTAGAAATTGATGCTATGGTATTCTGTTTTTGTGTTAGGATGGTCACTGTAAATCTACTTAATAGTAAAAATAAAATCTTGCTTGGAATTGTGAATTAAATGAATTCTCCATTGTGCAGAAACAGGAACAGCATTATATTTTGTATGTAATATTCTTAAACAGTCAATTCATTTGTTCGATTAATATTTTTGAGCTATTATGGATTACATAAGTTATGGAGGGGCTTTGTTATTTAGTCAATTCATGTCCAGTATCAGAGGGGCCAGTTCTGAATTTGGAGAAAAGAGAAGAAAAGAAAAATTAAAGCAAATGACAAAAGTCTAAATATTTTCCGCAAATAATTGTCTTTTTTTCCTTAATTTCTTGTGTTTACAGACTGGAATTTAAGCTGCATTTTTCTAGATGGCGCCAGCCTATTGGTACATATATTAATGTCAAACAGTAATGCTCAAATCACATGGGTTCACAGTTGTCTCTACATAATTTATTAAGTATTCTTGCCACAAAGTCTCCCCCTCTTTTCTGGGAGACCTGGGGGAAGGGTCTCACATGTCCTTATGACCAGTTTGCTCACATTACTCATTTACTAGCCACCCTCGTGCTTACAAGATCCTTCATGTAGGAGCTCCACCATTCTGTCTCATGTCAGGATTTTCCAATAGAACACTGCTGTCCTGTAACAAGGCCATATACATGTTCTTTCTAGGTTACAATTTCCCACACTGCTAAATGATGTTGCATTCACTTTAAACTGTACCCTACTGGGGACTGACTTATTCTATAGAAATGAGGTGACTATTTCCCTAGCAACTCTGTCAGCCTGAAGTACTACTGCTTATGTCCTGAGTATCATAAAGTCTCTTATGGAAACATTTCTTTGTGTCCTTATGTATAGTCCTGAAGCATGCATCTTTCATTGTGCTTTATCTCTTGTCTCTCTGTTGGAGGCACCTGGGGTATGAAGTTTTATCCCAGCAGTTATTTATTCCCCGTGCACATTTACTTTTTCTAATAATTGGCAGGGAGGACTTCTACTGCCCCATCAGTTTATCAGACAAAACCAAACTCTGAATCCGAATTTGAGCTCAACTGGGAACCCTGCTACACCAGAACTTAACTTGGATTCCAGATTGCTTGATAAAATAGCTAGCAGACAATAAGCTATAATTTCTTGACCACACACACACACACACACGTACATACACGTACATATGTACATACAGCAGTTCCCCTCATCCACAGGATATGCCCAAATCCACAGTGCATGCTTGAAATCTCAGAAAATACTGAACCCTATATATACTATGAGTATTCCAATACATACACAGCTATGATAAGTTTAATTTATGAGTAGTCACAGTAAGAGATTAATAGATTAATAACAATAACTATTAATACAATAATAATATGCTACAATAAAAGTTATATAAATGTGGTATTTTTCTCTTTCTCAAAATATCTTATTGTACTATACTCACCTATTTTCAAACTCTGCTTGTCCACAGGTAACTAGAACCAAGGAAAGTGAGATGGCAAATAAGTGATGAGGGATGCTACCATATCTCACATACATATATTTCAAAATATGTCAAACTATACACCTAAAAACTTATAATTTATATCAACATGATATGCTTGATACCATAGGCAATGGCATTTTCTCATTAAGTCATTTCTTTCAGTTGCAAAACACCATATAAAAGGAGTGGCATATGCTATAACATGTATTTTGGGTATTTTACATTTACCCAGATATGAATATAAGTGATATACTTAGTTATAATGTTCCCTTAAGCCACTGTTTTGCTACATGCTTCTATACATTGATTCTTCTAAAATTTATTTTAAAGGTAACATAGTTTTTTTCTTTTACAGTCTCCCCTTAGTAAATGTAGCTACTACGACTATGAGTAAAAGAGACATGGATGGGTGGAGGAGATATGGAGAGGCCAGCACTTTTGTAGATAAATGCAATGTGAAAACAAGGAACTACTCTTTAATTACTGGCACAGAAATAATGACAAGGAAACAAAATTACTTCCTGAATCACACTTTATCACCTGACTGGTTGCAAAGGCACTTTTTTTTTTTTTTTCTGTTTTCGTCAAATTAAAATCTTAACCATGTAAATTCAAGGCTGTAAAGGACAACTCAGGATCCTTCACAGTAAAAATTACAGTATTAAAATTCTTACTTGCTATAAAGTGGTTAGAACCATTGAGAAACATTTTATCAGGTTACGTGGTTAGAGAAAGATTTGGAAAAACAAAATCAAAAACAAAAAACTCATTGTAAAATATCAGAACACCTGAGATGTCCAAGCTGTAAAGTGTAATACACGCTATCAACTGTAGTGGAAAGAAAGTTCCAAAGTATGAAGTACAGAGCAATTGTTGGTAGCATGAGTGGTGGGACTGAAGTAAACTGAAATAAATGGAAGGCATTTGTTTAATCTACGATCTTGTTGAAAGACAAGTCCCAGCACAGTAGCTTTCTCTTTTAAAGACTAGCCAGATGTCGGCCTTCTTAAGAGCACAAAGAATGGAACCACAGAAAGAGATAACAACGCTGGTAGAGAACAGCAGCTACAGTAAGGTTGTTTTTAAATGGATAGAAATCTATATAAAGGTGACGCCGACAAAACATAACAGCTGTCTCCTCCTCAGTCATTTAGGCAGACACTTGCACTAAGTAAAAAGGTGCAAGGTATTTATATCAGCAATTCTCATTATCTGGTACATTTATTGCTCTGGCATGATTAGCAGAGACTACTTGGCCAGCGTTGGCAACTATTTGCTTTTTCGTCAGCCTGATGTTTGGTCTGCAACCCCTCTAAAACTAACAGCAAAAGAGAAACTCAGAAACTTAGGAAGTTTTAATTGGCAGGCTGGTGTCACCCTTAGCCTACTCTCTGTGAGCTATATTCTGCATTTTAGAAGCTCGCTGGCTGTTGCTCTTTTTGATAGCCAACAAGAAGCAACGTCATAGACCTGTTTGGCTGCTGTCCTGGGTAGAAGGGTTTGGCAGCCCTAGGGAGATGAATTTCTCCAGCGTTGGACCCGCCCAGAGCAGAGAAGCAACACCCTTCCAGCCACTACTCTGTTGCTATGAAACAAAAGACTAGGAAGGTAAGCGAAGCAGGAAGTCCCGCCTTTCAGCCCCAGACGGCTTTGGCTCCCGCTCCCGACGCTCACGCCCACCTGCCACCCCTTATTGGTTAGCTCCTTCGTGCCTTGCATCCCTTCTTCCATTTCCTTTCCCGTTTCCACTTTAGTTCCCGGGCGAGTCCAGGCCCCTCATTTCTCTCCGAGTCCAGTTCCTTTCTGACGTGCTGCGAGCGGGCCTTCCTCTGGGGCCATTGTGTACTGTGGAGGACGTGGACGGGGCGGCAGCGCGAGGAGGACGGACGCCTCCCGCCCATTGGCTGCACCCGCTGTCGGGCAGTGCGCGGGTGTGCGGCATTGGCCCAGCGGCGCGCGGCCCCGCCCCCGCCCCGCCCCGAGCCTGGGTCCTGTGTGTGCCACAGGGGTGGGGTGTCCAGCGAGCCGTCTCCTCCTCCTGCTAGTGCTGCTGCGGCGTCCCGCGGCCTCCCCGAGTCGGGCGGGAGGGGAGAGCGGGTGTGGATTTGTCTTGACGGTAATTGTTGCGTTTCCACGTCTCGGAGGCCTGCACGCTGGGTTGCTCCTTCTTCGGGAGCGAGCTGTTTCAGCGATCCCACTCCCCGCCGGGGCTCCCCACACACACTGGGCTGCGTGCGTGTGGAGTGGGACCCTCGCACACGCGTGTCTCTGGACAGCTACGGCGCCGAAAGGCAAGGAGGGAAGGGGTCGCCGGGGAGGCTTCACACTTCTTACCGGCTCGGGGGTCCGGGGATAGCCAGGCGCGGGCCAAGGAGGAAGAGGGGACAGCCCCGGCTCTCAGCTGCAGCTGCCGTTGCCGCCGCCGTCCAGTTTGAAGTGGGGCGTTTAAAGACCAGAACCCGCAGGCCGGGGAGGAGGGAGACGGATTCCAGGCAGACGGCGGTGGGGATTGCAGCAGGCGGCCGGGAGGCGCGTCCACCCAGGCGCCGAGCACACAGTGTCCCTCCCGCGCCAGAGACGGACCGGGCTGCGGGCACGGGAGGGACACTTTGTCCCCTCCCCGTCCACCTTCCTCCCGCAGCTCAGACCCGAGGGACCAGGAAGGGGCTTGAGCGGGGAAGGGACACAGGCGTCCTGAAACAAAGCTTTGGGTGAGAGCAGAGGCGAGGAGCGAGAGAAGTGAACTCCCCCTTTCCGTGGCCGCTCTTGTCAGTTTCTCTCCGTCTCTTTTCAAATGGGCTATTTGTGTGTTACTTCATTTGGTTCTTGGGAATAACGACCCACCGCGTTGATTTAAAGAAATGTGTTCGTGTGTCCGTACTTGGTGGTTTTAGTGTGGGACATGTCGTGCGCCTTTGTTGACAACAGAGCTGTCCCTTACGTTTGTGTAGAATAATCTTTATGTTTATATAACTTGGAGAAATCTAACAGAGTGAAAGTGAAGTTTCTGCGTAAGGCTCCCAAAATGTTATGATAGGAGCTTCAGTTGTTCTAGTATTTTGGATTGGAATTAAGGCAGGAGGGGAAGAACATTCTGTTTTTTATCTAGGAAACCTGTTTAAGTTTTGTTTTATGAGTTGGGTATTAGTTCAGCCTTAGCTACTTGAAACGTGAGCAGGGTGCATCTTTAACTCCTAGTATTGTAAAAGCAAATCTAGGATCATTGCTCCTAAAACTACTGTGTGTAAAGATTGAGAGTGTAAATTCACAAGCTTATTGATGAAAATGAATGTGGAACTTTTGGTTTTGCTCTCATGGATGGAGGAAGATACAGTGGGTACAAGTTAGTCTCTTTAGTTTTCTGGTGGGTATTTTCGAAATCAACTAACTTTTCTTTTTTTAAATCTGCCTTTTAAAGAACTAAAATTCCAGATGGCAAACTCAATGAATGGCAGAAACCCTGGTGGTCGAGGAGGAAATCCCCGAAAAGGTCGAATTTTGGGTATTATTGATGCTATTCAGGATGCAGTTGGACCCCCTAAGCAAGCTGCAGCAGATCGCAGGACCGTGGAGAAGACTTGGAAACTCATGGACAAAGTGGTAAGTTCTGTCTGACGTTGCCTGTGCGAAACACTATTCACTTTGTCTGTGGTTTCTCCAGATTTATTTATACAGTTAATTAATACCAACCATTGTTACGGCAACAGTCTTTTGATTTCAATTCATCATTTTTCTTACTTCAACTCTGTGTTTTTTGAAAAGTTGGATTCAAAGACTTTTTTTTTTTTTTTTAACCTTTTGTCCTTTCTACTCTTTAAGGTTCAGAGTTCCTCTACATGACTCTGTATGCAGAATTTTACCATTGGCTGCTTTTTGTTGGTGTATGGCCATAGAATGTTTGGAAGTGTTTGTTCTGTCTTCTGTGAGATTGTGTTGCTCTTAGATAACAAAAGAGTACAAGCAGGTTATTTAAGTCTTTGATGGACCACTCATGACAATCATCTGGTGTGATACTGAAAATATTTACTGGGGAAAGAAACAGATTAGTTCTTTTTTTAATTTTTTTCCTTTTTTTGTTACTTCGTCCACTGAAGTCTTGAACCCCTCAAAGTCATCCAGAAACAGAGTAGTTCTTAAGTATAGAAGCAGTATTTGAGGGAGTTTCCATTTTCATCTTTGAGAATTCATCTTCATTAAGAAACTTTTTTTGTTGTTAATGGGAGAGTTAACAGTTTCTTTCATCTACTATTCCATTTTGAAACAGGAAACCTTTCGATGGCACATTGTTTATTGTGAAAGGAAAATTTATGTTGGGGGTGGTGAAGCTGAGAGTATCAGAAACCTCTGTGGTTTCTGCATGTTGTTTTCAGACAAACTATAATTTCACAAGAAGAAATCAAGATGGGTGTCAGTATCCAGAGAAGTCAATCTGAATACCTTACAGAGATTTACTCAGAAATTGTAGCTGTCAGTATCCTACTTTACTAAGTATTATTATAAAATAAATTTAAGATGTAGCTTGTGGGTTTGCAAAAATTAATAATTCTTTTTTTTGAAGGAGTAGCACTGTCCTGTATTTATTCGTAAATGTTTGTAACACATTATGTCTTTATTTCGTAGATATCTGGGGCTAGTTATAAGTTTAGTTGAAGCAAGACTCGGTATGTTTATAACTGAAGAAATGGAGGTTTAAAAAAAAATTCCTTTATAGGGATATGCCAAAGCATCCATGAAATCATATGGTAACATTCATCTTTGCTTTGATTTGCTGCTGTCTGCAAATATTGGCTATAAAAAGCCACTATTGGTAGTAGTAGTAGTAGCAGCAATATACAAATGTGACAAGATTTCCTTTATTTTCATTTATTCTGATGGAAAGGACACATAGATGAATGACTAGCCTGTCATTCTACAGGCAGTGGTGCTGAATGCAGAGCCAGAATATTTTTGCCAGATAAACAGCCTTAGTTTTGGGCTTCAGTGTGACCTATTTAAGCTTCTGCCAATTTATTCAAATTGTTATATTAAAGTACTCCAGACAGAATGATGTCATAGTGTCAAAATATTGCAACTTGCTGCTTGGGGTTGAGTTTTGATTTTAGCATTGGATACTTTAGAATAAGGACTATTCAATTGGAAAAATAGCGTATATTTGGCAAGCACAATGCTGCCTATCTTTTCTTTGCTAACGAGTGTGCATTTGAAGGTCACTCTCACTGCCTAAATCATTAGTTGGGGTAAGAGAAGGAATTCAAGGTTTTTCTCTAACTTACCTGCTACATAAGTGGACAGCAAATGGTTCAGGTTCTATAAAGGGGCTGTTCTTTTTCCCCTACCCTCCATCTTTGAGTGGTCAGTGTTTGTACATTTGTGAGTGTTAGGACATCAAATCAAAAAGATTTATATAAGGAAGTGGTGAGCTATAGTTACTATAAAATCATTTTTGAAACATTAAAAATGATGTACACAGTTTTGGTCTATAACTGGTTGTTAACATAAGTTTTATTCACTTTTAATTATTTCACCATGAGTTATGGTACAATAGATGGCTATTTGATAGTTACACATCTGCTATTATTTATTTTATTAACCCTTTTGTGGGTTTAAGTTTAGTCTCTCCAATTGAGAAACTTGACTCAACAAGGAAATCTGTTATCAAAAGTCTCTACTTAGTGGGATGTGGGTGCGGGTGTTGGCAAATGTACATTGCCTGTTTATCTTCATTATTTGTCAAAGATGAAAATGGTTGTGTTCATTTGTGAATGTACCCAGGGGCTTTGTGGAGAGAAATCACATAAATTATTATGAAAGAATTCAATATGTTTATTTTTACTCTAAGATACAGTAAATAGAAAGGCATTGATAATTACTAATTGGCAGTATATTTTATGTAAGTGTGTAGTGCAGAAACATCCCCCTCTTTTGTTTATCTTATTTGTTAGTGGTGAAGGAAGTGGCTCATAATATCAACGTTGTCCTGATGATTACATCAGGAGCTTTATTATTAGTTCTGAAGTTAATCCCTTGACGCATTACCTTTTTAAAAAAAAAATAACTGCGATAGCATGAATTTAGTTTGTGAATAACAGAAAATAGCAACTTTCACGTCTAATTGGTAAAAGGCAGAGTTAAGTGTATAGTTACTATTTTTTTCTTGTGACGCCTCTTTGCAAGGGTAGATCTTGGAAGTACAAATATGAACACAAACTTCAATTTCAGTTTGTTCCAGCCACCAATAAAGGAAGATAACTGTTGTTACAGGGAATAATGAAGCATTCTTGGGTTGTAGGGGAATTATCTAATAGGTATGTAGTTTTACCATTTCTTGGTCTCTAGAATTTAAAATGGTCAATTGAAATTCTTTCCAATTAATGTTCTGTTTTCAGAGGGCAGGCTTTTTCTCTAAGGTCACTGAGAATAGGAGAACGTAATTGCTCACTTGTCTCCTTATAAGATGTAGAGTGTTTTGTAACAGAAAATCAGTAGCACAGAGTTAGCACAGTCCATGTTTTGAGGAAAAGAGTAGTAGATAGTAGCACATCCCAAAACGTCCCATTTAAACAGATTTTCTGGCCTTAGCTCTGTATGTCAGTGTCATTTGCTAGCCGACCCGAAAGCCCTCACATCAGTGGATGCTTATTTGATACAGTGATGGAAGTAGTAATCATGAATACACATCTAGGGTCAGGTGTGCCCGGAATGAAATATGGAGTCTGTTCTGAAGCTACTCAAGAGACAAGGTTTCTTAAACACTTAATAAACATTTTTTGAGGGCCTCCTGTGTTTCCACTGAGTGCTTGTTACTGGGGATATGAAGCTAGACAAGACATAATCCTGCCTTTGACCTGTCAAGGAACTCAGAGAACACATAAATGGATAATTGCCATGTAGTACAGGAAGGGCTGTATTACAAACCCAAGGTACAGTGGGAACAGAGTAGAGAACATCCTCCTTGTTTTTCTGGCCAGTATTCAGACAGTTTTCTTTCTGGATTCTGCTGGCCATTGCCTTTTAGGAACAGCATTATTGTGTTCTTGTTGGAAATGCTGAGGTGAGAGTAAGGAAGTGATTGCTAATCAGTATGGTTGGAATGATAATTTATTAATGTGAGGTTCCGGAGCACAGTTTTCACGAGAATCTTAGCCAGGTGATGGAAAATAGAAGAAACAATTTTCCATCTAATAGATACTAAATATACTGAGCATATGTGGGTACTCCGGAAATTAGAAAATAATTAATTGATGCTAAAGAGCAAAGCACGCCGAGTACCTGCCTCAAATTTTTGTCTTGCTGTCCTTGTCAATTTTTTTAAATTGCATTACCGAAAGAATTTAAAAAGCACTTAGGAAGTGATGATGCCCATTAGGTTTTTCCTGCCTTTTGCCCTCAGTCTAGTTAGTACATTTTTCAAGCTTGAAGTATAATTCATACTCTTTTTAATTTCATTGTGATAATAATATATTTTAAAGTTTGTCAATCAAGGATGCTTGGATTATAGACAAATATTTTAAAGAATACAAGTAAACTTCCTTTTCTAAGCTGAGTTCCTCATACCTCTGAAAGATATTCCATGTGGAGTAAAACAGGTTTTAGGTGCCTATTGTTTGTGTTTACTGATTTGGAGACTCTCACCTTCCTAGAGCCATAAAACAGGGGATATCATTCATTTGAATTATACTTCTTGACCTATTTCCTTTTCCTCACTGAAGTTGTTCCACCTTAGCAGAATCAATGGGTCCTAGTAGACTTGGTTAGGGGATAATAACAAATCATCTGGACAGTTTTGTTTAGTACTCAATTCAGTTTTGAATTTGTGTTGTAATAAGTGAAGTGATCACAAAGTCTGGTACATGACTTCTAAGAAAAGCTATTGATAAAGTAAAAGATTTAAAGGAATCCTATCAAGACTTACCTTGATTTGTCCCTGCGATATAAAGCATTCACATAATACAGGCCTTAATCAGTTAGTAATCTTTTTACTATTAAAAAATTTTTAGCTTTCAGATTTTGAATCTATTTCTTTCTTCTTTTTAAAAGGTGCTTTTTGTGCTGTCTGTTGATTTCATCATTCATTTATCAAATCTCAACTATGGAAAGATAGGCCTTTCCAAACAGCTATGCCATAGAGTAAAATGTAATAAGTGCTTTAAGGTAGTATAAATAAAGTGCTGAGATGTAGTACGTGGCGGAGGTGAACCGTTGCTTGCTAAGGGTGAAAAGTTGGTGGAAAATGAAGCATGGAAGAGGTACTGTCCTGTTCATGGGCTGGATTCCAGTGAAATGGAGGACATGTTAGGTTGAAGGAGTGATAGATTGTTGAGTAAGAGAGGGGAAGTTAGGGGAAGATGATAGAGGTTTGGCTTTTGTCAAAGAATTTTGTCTTAATTTATTTGGTAGAAAACCATTTGGAGGCTCCTAATCAGGGAGGGAAAACCTCAGGACTGTGCTTTGACAGAATACTTACTTGACTCTGCAAAGCTTGGATTAAGAGAAAAAACTGAAAGCAAGAGTAATGATCAAGAGTAATGATTAAAACAGTCTGGGCAAGAAATAATGAAATGCTGGCCTAGATAATTGGAAGTAGGTATAGCAAGTGTTGG